ATAAGATGATACATAATCCATATTGATTTTACCATTTTTAATTTGAACTTTATAAAAGTCAATATTTATATGTGTAAGACATAGCAAAAATTATTACCTTGCAACTTGATAACCTTGATGCGCTGTTTATGGAATCTGATATTTTATGAATTTTCCAGGTATCCAAACATATTCACAAATTATTTTCATGGTCTGAAAGTCAACCAGAGCACGTAGAAGTTAAACTTAAGTTGACACTAAAGAAAAACAGTCATTATTGGCCTTCAAATTTTGACTTTATAATGTAATTTATAAATAAAAGCTAATAAAATATCAAAGTAAAAATAAGAATCCTTAGTACTTATTTCCAGTGCCTCATTAGGGAGTTTTGTATGTGCTCAGTGCTGCTCTGGGATCATGTCTGACTACCAACTTAGTAAATATGCAACCCTGCAACTGAAAACCAGAAATATTCTGTTCACCTCTATAAACTTCAACTTCAGGAGATAATGCCAAACGTTTCCCAAAATATTAGTTCAATTTACATTGAAGCTGTATATAAATGTTTTATTTGCTCCTCACCTTCACCAACATTTGGTATATTGAATAGTTTATATTTTGCTCTTTATTTTCTATATTCAACCAATTACATTTTAAAGCCAAAAAATGAAAATAATGACAACAGTATAAGAACAATTCTCCATTCAGAACTTTTTGCTCTAAAAAGCAGTTGCTCAAGGTCTTAAGATTTTAAAGGACAAAGTGTAACAAGCTCTCATTTCTTGATATTAATGTTTCAATGAACAATGCTTCTTAATATTATGTCCTTGAGAAACAGCAGAGCAGATAGCAGGATTTTGCAGTTTTATTGAGTTGCAGTATTGAGAAGCTTTGTTTTTGAAATTTTATCACAAGACCACAATAGATAGACTTTAACTGAGGAAAGAGCCAAAAGTCTTGTATGTTAAAGGGACCTCTGAAAGTAATCACCAACATTCCCGCCCACTTCTGTTGAAGCTAAACAAAATTTTCTTCTTTGCATTATCATATATTTTGAGGTCACTTAGTGGGTACATAAAAGTCAACAATTGTCATATATTCAAAATCAAGAACAAATTGTGATAAAAACAAATGGAGTAGAAATGATATCAAAATGTCCACTTTATTAAGAGGGGAGGTGAATTGCCTCATTCTGCCCATTATGAGAGGGAAATGGGGCTGAGAGAACCCCAGATTCAAGCAAACTACACAGCAGCCTAGAGGCCTGGGTGCCCAGACTAGAAGAAACAGAGAGAGACAGCCTTCAAGTTGCACTACTTGAGTTTTCTTCACAAGGACGTAAATTGTCTGCCTGTGTTCCTTTGCCCTTTTCCTACTCTGCTGTTCATTCTTACTTATTAAAGTTTGGGGATAATTTTGTTTATCCAATCATAGGCATTTAAAAATTTTCTAGATTTGTGTTTGATTCTTATTTTTGGCTTACTGTGATACATATATAGGTTTTTCAATTTTAACAGGGTCAGATTTTGTTGAGGTTTTTTTTTTAGAAACAATCAGAAGGAAGAAGTATTAGAATACCTGAGTCAAAGAAGAGACATGGTGTGTCCCGCATTCAGTTTCAAAATTATAAAGAATTAATTCTACTGAAAATAAAGCATTAACTCACCACAGCCCCAATCAAAACGTTTAGCAGATATAGCTAATAAATATGTTTTTATATAGAAATATATTATATCTGTATATATATATATTATAGTGGAACTAGACTGACAGGTCTTATATTTAGCAGAGGTAAAGTACATGAAGAGGCCTGAAAAACAACACAAGGAATATTTGAACAGCAGTTTTATTATATGAAAAAGAGATTTGCTGCCTCCCCCCACCCTCCAGGAAATACCCCACCCTAAGGGCTTGGATGGAAATTGAACAGACATGTATTACCACTACACTTTAAAGTATTTTTAAAGGGACATTTCTTAGTTTAACAATTTTGGCTTAACTTGGTGATTCTCCTCCCTCTAAAACCAGGGAAGGACCTCCTGCTCTCCCCATCACAGGAGGGGGCGGAGCATCCTCTAGAAGCTCTGGAGAGAGCAGAGCCTGGCCAGTCTTAGGGGAGGAGCTGCGTTACATGCAGACTTCGGAGGCTTCCGCTGAAGAGAAGAAGCTTGGAGGTAATGGCTGTCGTAAAAGCTAGCTATTTTCGGTGATTTCTGGAAACTTTCGAGTAAAAGTGGGAAAAGAAGGGACTTCTGCTTTGGAGTAATAGAGAAAGGGAGTGTCGTTTTGTGAGTCGCTGTTTCTGTGTGGAATTAGTATCTGGATTTTGTGTTCCTCCAGATATTTTAAAAGCCCACGTTTAAAAAGTGGGGGAGGTGGTGATCAGATTACACCTGCGGAAAAAATAATTCATGAGGTTGCAAAAACTTAACTTTTGAATAGGGCATTTTACGTTTCGATCAAAAAGCAGTGGTAATTGATATAAATTATGAAAGTTGAAAAATTAATTTTCCTTATTTTGAAAAACAAAAAGATTGCGATAATCCCAATTGAATAATGAACTTGTTAGTTGGAGGTGTTGACTTTTATATTACTTTAATTGTGTTCCTGACAAATTTTATTGTTTTCTTGGTGTTTCTATAGTAATACTGTGAAGTAATGTGTAACTGTGCAGACTTAAGTACTTCTTAGGATTACAAGTTTGGTTATTTCGCAGGGGATACTCAAGGTCTCAAAGAATTGCGTTTTTACTGATGTGCAAAGGACAATCAGTGTGTACATCTCTACTTATCAAGAGAACGATCTAATCCTACTTGTACTGTAGTATGAAAAATATCTAAGATCATAAATTAAAAAAGATAGACATTAAAACAATAAAATAAATAATACATCTAGTTAAAAAGCATGTCTTAAGAAAGAAGGAAATTTTCCAATTAACATTTCTTTTAGCATGTATAGACTTATGTCAGTGTAAATGTAAGTGAGATGAGAATTTAAGCATGGAGGTTAAAAAAAAAAACTTCCCAAAATGCGTAAACATCTATGGAAAGGTGTTCAGTTATGTGGTGAACAAATGTAATTTCAAATAATGTATTATAATATATAAGAAAAAAATCAGAGAGCTAATATTCGCATGTAAGTAGTGAACATGTAAGTATTGAACGTGTAAGATTCACATGTAAGTAGTGGGGTTTTTTTTAGATTTTTATATATCTTTGAATTTTTGTGGAAATGCGTAAAGGAACTGAAAAGGGAGCAATCCATTTTTGTTAAAAACATTTAAGTAAATACCCACACACACACTCCATTCTCTTTAGCTGATGAAGGTGCATTTTTCTGCGACTCTGAGAAGGCTGGTTACCTGCTTGTTGGTGATTTTTCATGCAATTCAAATATTTCGACTCTCAGACAGACTTTTATTTGAGAAGATACTTATTAGTATGTTTAAGTACCCTTGAGAAAGAATTCAAAAAATGTTTAAAACATTGTGGAAGAGTTGTGTAAAGTAGTGCATCCACAGTGTTGAACATTATGTAGTTGTAAAAAAGAAAAGCTAATGTAACCAGCTGAATTCAGTGGTAAGAAAAGATGTTCACAGCATATTCTAAAAATAAATTGCAGAATGGCCTGTATTACGTTAGTACCAGGTATGCAAGGGAAATCTGGAAATATGCATGCAACTTTATTAATTGAGGATGTAAGTGTAGTTGGAGAGACAGAATATTTCCACCTATATACTATATTTCTCCATTTAAATTTTTTATTTTGAAAAGAGTAAGCTTGAGTGATTTTCATTGTGAAAATTTCAGAAATAAAAAAGTCTTGTTTTACCCATCTGTGGAGTATAATGCCCAGAAAACAATTACATGCAAACAATAGGAGAAATAAAAAATTGAACTTAAAAAGGAGATAATGGTTACCAGAGAGAATGGGGGTAAGGAGGAGGAAATAGGGAGAGAGGGTATGGGCATGGGTCAGTTGGTGGAAGGAACAAAGGAAAAATTTTATGAAAGTCATTCAAAAAAGATGATGTAGAAAAATATTGTTGACATGGATCTTAAAATATATTTTTGGAAAACATACATAAATAAATACATTCTTGAGGGTGATAAAGATAGTGAAAAAAACATACACATTTATAACTATAGGACAAACCTAGAAATGATATTTTAACAATTACAATGGAGATTTGTTTTCCTTTATTGAAAATCTAAAAATGAAGAAAGATACATAGTACACTTGAAAGACATAACAGCAGAAGAAATTAGGATTCCATTTTTGTGTAACACACACCGTCAACTTTTTGAGTTGAGAATGAAAAAGTCTAGAAACCTGAGCACTGTATGAGTGGCTGTAGCTTTCCCACTAAGGAACAGGGTGTCTGCAGTTCTGATTCAAGTCACAAGATGGCACCTGTCAGTTTTCCTAAATTTTCTCCACGCAACCATTTTTAAGAAGTAGGCAAACAAAGCAATGAAACGTATTTGGCATTTGCAGATTACAAGACAGTAGAATGTGATTAAAATTACCTTGAAAAGGTGCATGTGTGTGACAGATGAAAAAGATGAGGACTTAATGTGAGAATTCAAACAAAGCAATAAAAAAAAAGTAGCTACTAGTTTTGGCCTATAGAAGACATGAGGTATTTATTACTTCCTGTCTGTCCTGTCCCCACTTCACACTTTAACTGGGCAAAATGATTTCAACGGAATAACATAACTGTTGTAGAGAACTTTTCAAATAATAAGAATAAAAAGGAAAATTAACATGATATCTACACTACAGATGAGATTCCTTCTCGGGCCCATGTTTCATAATGACATATCTGCTAACGTTTTTGTAGGAAAAACTTTACACAATTTCTATATAATGGGTTGATTCCCTGCCTCTTTTTGGGTAGACTAAGTTTAATGTCAGAGGTGCATATGACCTGAGGAATCTGCTTGTCATTCCAGTTGAGCACCAGAAAGTCAGTGTGACCACAGAGGTTCGAAGCAGGGGGAAGACCCCACTGAACAAACATTTGGAGTGAGAGTTAAGAAGAGGATCCCAAGGCCAGCCCCTCCACCATCCTGGTGACATTGGGTAAGTCTCCTCCAGTTTTGGGGAAGTATTTTACATTGAAAATATGTTGCGAACTTGTGGTATAGTTTATTTGGCATCCTGCTCTGCAACCATAGCATTTTAAATTTAAAGCCACATTTCATTTTAAAATCATGGTAGGCTGTGAATTTGAGATAAAATTCATTCAGTCCCTGGCCTGTAGCCAGTTCTGTAATTAAAAGTCCGCTGTGTCCAGTTTTGAGAAGGAATACCACATGTTAAGCCACTACGGGAAAAAAGCCTACAAGAGGCTCTTCAGATGTCTCCTTGAGGTTCTGACCAGCCCGCCTGACTCGCCTGCCCTTGAGAGCAATGTGAGGTTGTCATCATCCCATACCAGATAGCACAGTTATAAAGATCTCTTAAGATTTCTTTAAGGTCCTCAAACCTTCAATAATAGACACCTGTCTACTCTCTTGAATAATATTTTGTAGTGCTTTAACACTTCATTCTTTCCCAACAACTGACAAAAACCTCTGAGTCCTAAAGTCATGCCCTTAATGAGGGTGTTGGTCACGAAGCCCAATGTTTGTGTACATGAGACCTTGGCTTGCTTTGGATGGACAGGCAGCATCAGCATCTTAGGGAATGTTACAGCCCAGCATTCCCTCATGATAAGCTAGAGAGATCCCAAAGGGGCAAATTATCTAGGCACACAAATAACGTCCTTGACACCATCAAATCCTCTGCTATGCACATTCCCTCCTTATAGAGCAAAGGAATACTAAAGACTGAACATTAAGTTCATGTTATCATAATAATTCTCTGTTACCGTTCTTCTCCCCAGAAATATAGTCCACATCTCTCACGTCCTCTATCTGATACTCAGCTATTTATTCTTCTGATTTGCGTCTTGTCTCCACAATTCTCAACATCCACATTCTTTCTCCTTAACAAAGTAAACGTACCGGATCCTTTTCTTCTTTGCCATGTTTTAATCTAATCCAGTTGTCACTCATTAAGAACACTTTATTCAATCTGCCTTATGAAGTGTCAGGTAAGAAGAGGCAACTGCAGGTGAAAACTACTTACTAGCCCTAATGTGACACAGTAGGGTCTCTTCCAAAACACTGCTTTTCTAGAAAACCAGCAAATGAAAACCAGACCAGTGACTGAAAGATTTGTCCAGCATAATGTGTATCTATTGACATTTCTTCTGTAATTCTAGCTGCACTAATGCGGCATGTGCAGACTCAGTTTTGCTGTGGTTAAATTGAGACTTCTTTTCCTCTTACCCATTTTCCCTGTCTCTTCTGCCTCAACTATACACTTAGAGACTAAACACTTTGACCATTCTATTGGTTAATATCAGAGATGCATGTGACCCCAAGCATATTTCCTAACTATCCCATCAAATTGTCAAGATTGGAATGTTTTGTCTCCATTGAGCTAATAGTAAAAGTCTCAAACCCATAACTGTCTGCCTGCCAGTTTGAAAATTTTACAATATAACTCTGTGGTCATGCTTTGGTGACAAGACTCTTACAGACTAGATACTGAGTTTTGCCAACAAAAGTTCATAATTCTCACCCAGAACCCCGATGCCTTTATTCAGATTGATGATAGGAACAATGTTAACCCAGTGTCTGTTACAGTTGTCTTTTGAATAATGATGGCTTCTTCTTTTTTTAAGTACCCAGTGCAGTTTTCGTTGCTTGTTTTGTTAACTACAGGAAGAGCTATGTCATATTGCAGCTGTTTCTTCAACCTGACCAGTCAGAGGTGACAGGAAATGGGAGTTGTGTTTACCTGTTCACTGTGATAATGGATGGGGTTGTGAGGCTTTACCAACTTCACTTGCATTGTATGTGTATATATTTATATATAGATTGCTTTTAAAGCATAGTGTAATTTATCGTAAGAGACATAACCCTCAAAATCATCATCCATGGCAGTCTGTAGGTTTTACACTTCCTGGGAAATGACACCTCTAAATTATAAAGGCAAGCAAAATCTAAATTTCAGTCTTAATCTCTTGAGTATTTGGTAAGCAAAAACAAAGTTAATTAAAGAAGATAGATGCACAATTTTCCTCTAGTGAATTAGCAAGCATCAAGAAAGCAACAGCTCAAGGAGTTGTCTAAAGTAAATGAGGGTAGAATAAAATGGGCAGCTCTCTCCATAATTGATTTTCAGCCCCTGTCCAGGAATAACAATATCTGAAAGGGAAGGTACTCCCAGGCCCCTAGGGCACAGAGACATGTCGTAAGCAATTCATGGCCAGTGATGCGAAAGCATAGGGCAGCAAAGTATTGTTTAAATCGGTGTGGACATGTGCACAAATGGAAAAGATGTGTTGTTCATAGTTAGGTATGGTAGTTATTAAAGATGATTTTAGTTCACCAATATATTCTCCAGCAGAGGCATGAGTTTAGACAGTGTCCATTCACTCACCAATCTCCTCTTAATCTGAAGGTGAACATCATCATCCTTGGTTCTACCAGATAAACTCCTAGGACTCCAAGCCCAGGAGGCAGTAAGTACTGATACAGAGAGAACGCATTCACCAGTTGGGATTTGAATATACTGGCTTTTGATTTTCTCCTAGTTTTCAACTTGTCACCATGCACATGAGCAAAAGTGCCCATTCATTCTCTTATTCCCTTGCCAACTGTTGATTGTATCACTTCTTTGCTTCTTCATAAGTTAAACTAGATAGAAAAAAATGAAATCTCATTGCTATTTATGTTGGTATCTCTTCTGTTATTTTAGGAAAGGCAAATAAGTTTTATGTATTTTTCAGTTTTAATTTTTATTTTGAATCTTTGGACTTTGAAGCATCCCAATAAATACCCCTTCTCTTTTACCACTAACCCAATTGAATGAAAACAAAGTTGCAGAGGGAAGCCTACACACCAGGTTTTTTATAAGGGATGGTAAATTGCAGGGCAGTGATTATCGTGAGGATCAAATTAGCTTTCTAAACAACTGATTTTTTAAAGAAATCTACCAAACAGCCCACAAACTGGACACTCTACAAGACTGAGTGAGTGATACCTGCAATTGCAATACATTGCTTGTAGGGGGAAAAAAGCTGACAGTGATTTCCTCAGAACATCTTGAATTACCTATTTATGTCCTTTACCTTATTTATTTATTTGCTTTCTTATGTTTATCTATTTTAATTTTTAAGTGTTATTTTAGATTTTTTTTAAATCAAAAACAATTTGGTAAGTTTAGTGCTCTTTTTTCAACTTTGGTTTATGTTGATTTTTTTCAGCTTTTTTTTTTTTTTTTTCATTGTGGTATATATTCAGGTAGGTAGCACCTTTCTTTGAGGGTTTTGGTTGATGTTTTATGTTCAGAAATTACTTGAAGATACAGTGAGATTTTCTGAATGACCACGGAAATAAAGACTATCATGTCTCTGGGTTAGAGAAGTTAAAATTGTAGAGATTTAATTCTCACACAAAATAATCGCAGTATTAATTCACTGCAATCACAAACAAGAAACTGATGGATCTTTTTCAAATGGACCTTGGCCAGCTGTGTCTTGAAGTATTTTGGACGGGAAAAAAAAGTGCAATGAAAGTCACGAAATACACCAGAGCTATTTTTAACGGGGTCGTCATTGTATGCTAAAGGGATTTACTACTTTTTGTTAAGGCTATCCCCTAGCCCTGCGGTTTAAATGGGTATTAAAGAGCCACGTGTTGCCATTTCGCTTTCAAGCCCTTTAAAAATGAATGTTTTTCCCCTTTAAGCGAATTTCTGCTTAACTTGGTGATTCTCCTCCCTCTAATTGAGAGAAAGGCCCCCCGCTCTCCCCATCACAGGAGGGGCGGAGCATCCTCTAGAAGCTCCGGAGAGCTGAGCCCGGCCAGTCTTGGGGGAGGGGCTGCATTTCACGAGGCTGCAGCTGACAAGAAGCTTCAAGGTAATGGCTGTCTTCAAGCTAGTTATTTTGTGAGAATTTCTTCGGGCTTTGGTGTAACAGTGAACAAAATAGAGATTGTTGCCTGGGAGAGGTGGGATTGGAGTATGGTTTGGGGAACAATTGCCGTTGTTGTGACCGAATCGATGTCCTGAAAATTGAGTTTCTCCCGATATTTTTTGAAGTGCACAGTGTGGGAATGGGTGATCGGATTACAGCTTCTAAATTAAGACTTCAGTGAGGCATGCCGTTCATGTTAATTTTTTACATGGCATTCCTTGTTACTAGCTACGTACAGATTTTATTTTGATTTAAACGTTATTCTCAAACAACTCATAGAAGAATGTAAACATAAAAATGATTGACACAAATAGAGAAAGGTAAGTGAACGTGGAAGGGGTTCAGTTATGCCGTTGAGTGATAACATTTGTTAAAAAAAAAACCTCTGCATTTTCTTTACAGTCGGCATCTCCAGAGTGTTCCGATTACGGAGGATTTCAAAATATATTTGTAACCAGTTTCAGGATTCTTAGAATTGCTTTATTCCATGATCATTTTTAGAATTAGAAAAGCAAAATGAAGCTGAAACGGCGTACCCATTTAATTCCAGACACATAAACATTCATAGACACACAGAGACATGCAAATATTATAACCCCCTTGTCTTTTGCCGATAGTGGAAATTTTCCTGGACCCGATCAAGCGCATAGCCCGGCTGCTGTGTTGGCCAGAACCCTGTGTGTATCTTCCTGCAACTCATTCTTTCGACCACAGGTATGGCCGTGGTCAGCAAGAACCATTTTTCTATGTCTTATAAGGTTAATAGACAGAGACAGGCTTTGATTTGTTTCTATTCACAGTTTTAAAATACTGTGTGGCATAGTGTATCCATACAACTGAATGTTCCATAGCTGACCAATGAAAGTATAAACATGCAGTGGTTTGAAAATGTGACTGAGAAGTAGTATCACAGAAAAAAGCAAATTGCAGACTGGCTAACACCTTATGTCATTTAAAGCGAAAGGAATGTGTTAATATATGTGTAGCAAATCCCAAACATATAAGAGCACCTACTAATGAGATTATTTGTGTGGTTGGGGAGACAGGGCCGGCTTTCCTATGCCTGTCTAAAATAATTCTTACAACATATTTTACCATTTTTACAATATCAGACCAAAGTTTGAGTTAAAATATTACAAATGGGTTTAAATTTGAAGGGGTTCATTAAAAAATGACATTGAAAATACTAATGTGGAAAATACTCAAACCATGTGCTTGAATGTGGTAAAAATCTGGCTTGAAATTTTATGCATTCATGTACATATGTAGTGAAAGTATGGAAATATATTCAGGAAACAGTATTAATTGTTTTTCCAGAATTTTGTTTCTTTCATAAACCTTTTAAGTTTTCAGTAAGCTTTCCATTTTCTTGATCAAGCCATTGGACATAAATATAAAGGCATTTAATTTTGTGTGCAATGTATAACAAAACTTTAAATTTGTGCACAGTATATTCTAGAAGCCTGAGAAAACTGCTGGCTTGGCAGGATGTGGTTCCCACCCTTCTCACATAAGAATCTGGTAGTAACGGGTGCAATTCTGGTATTGGCCACAAGATGACGTGTTCCTTTTTTTAATTTTCCAAAATTTTCTCCAGGCAACTATTTTTATGAAGTGAGCAAACAAAGCCACGCATCGTATTTTGTATTACCAGACTATGAGACAGCATGTACCATGTGATAGCAGTTCCATTGAAAAAAAATTGTACAGGTCTCCGAGAAAAAGCCTCACGCAAGGACTGGTGTGAAAATTCAAACATAAGGCATTAGAAAAATAGCTCTATAGAATTTGGACTATAGAAACACACAGACAATTATTTTCCTTCTCTCCCCACCTCACAATATTCTTCGGAGACACAGTGTTAGCATGAAGCAAATAATACGACTGTCACAGAAAGCATTTCAAATAATAAGAACAAGAAAGGAAATACATGGCATCTATTCACAGATGAGATTCCCCCTCAGTCCCATGTTTCAGAATGACATGTCTGCTAACGTTTTGGTAGGGAGGTTTCTTTCCACCATTTCCATTTAATTGTTTGATTCCCTGTCTCCTTTTGAACAAAGTTTAGTAGCAGAGGTTTATGATCTGAGGATTCTGCTCATCATTCCAGTTGAGTCCCAGAAAGTTAGTGTGACCACAAAAGTACTGAGCAGAGAAAAGACCCTGCTGGACAAGCATTTGGGTTGAGAATTGACAACACATTCATAGGGCCAGACCCTCCACCAGCCACATGACATTGGGTAAGGAAGGTTCTTCCCATTTCATGGTAAAATGTGATAGGTTGAGAATACAATTTCTTTTTATTCTGACTCCATGCCATAACATTTTCAATGAAGCATGTAACATTTAAATGAAAAACTACAGATTTTAGTGTCAGGGAGAATTAAATGAGTGAAATGATGTGTGCCTACTTAAGATCTACAGGTCCCAGCCAACTGCCTAACTCAAGAAATACCTGAACATTGCCCTAGCAAATAAATAGGTAACCATGACATCCACTCCAAATCTCTTGACTCCTATGTCCATTCTGTAATGAGGTCATTGTGTTGTTGTCTGAGACCAGGAGACAAAAAACCCTAATCTCTGTATCTGGCTGCCTTGGGTAGATAAGACATCACTGACAGCTTTAAAAGGGTAAAAGGTTGCCCTAGAATTTAAGATTTATTCTAGTATCAAAATATCCAGTAACAGAAATGACGTGCCTGCCACACTATTCCCAAGTGTCCCCACACCACTCTCTTGCCATCTACAAAGTTCATTCCTGATATATAAATTGAAGCCCACATACTGGGGCTTTATAGAGCCACTTCTGTGTTCTTGAAATTTCAGTTATTTTCTCCAGGTACAGTATGTTTCTTTAGCGCCTAGTATTCCTCTTTGTGTATGTCTTCTCCATTTTCTAGAGGACTCCGTCCACTGACTGATTTCTCACCTGTATCCAGGTGTATCAATCAATCATGAGCTCAAGATCTGTTATGCTGCTTTCCCCTTCTTATATTCATTGTCTTCTACTTGCTACACACCTATGTGGCTAATAAATTTTAAAATGTTATTTTAACCTTGTAATCGATTTTGATATCCAGTAGGCCTGTTGTCCTTCCTGTCACTAAGGTTGGCATTAGGTACCAAACACAAATCTTTCTGATTTGTGCACTTAAAAACTTTGACATCATGTTTGTCTGAGAAACAAGTTTAGACATTTTATCTTGAATAGTCTCTTTCGCTGCCTCACTGAAGAACTAATAAGTACTTTTATTCAAAATGGTGACAAGAATACTTTCTTGTCCAACCTGAATCTTATCTCTGGTTGTCTCAGAGAATAGGAGGGGGGAGGGATGCATATTAGAAGGGGTTTCTTCTTTCTTTAAATTCCCCAAAGCAAATGCCACGGGCAGTTTTTTTTCTTTGCTTGTTAATCCCAGGAAAAACAAAACAGTTTACTTTTCCTCCATTAACATTCAGAGTAGAGCAAAGCTTTGTTTGCTCTGTGCTAAGCTGATGGGGTTTTGAGGTCCTCAGCAACTTTTATTTCTTTAAATGTTTTCCATTCCGTCATCCTGACTCTTGATTACCTAGCAGCTTCCATTGATTGGTGCTGTGCAGGTTTCAGCATTACCTGGGGAAATACAAAATCTCCAAACACGGCACAGCTTTATCCCGTTGTGACCTTGAGGTTACGGGTTGGCATTTTTCCTTTTTTCCCCTCTCTGTTATGTTCACACACACTTGACCCCGGCAATGATTCATTATCTGGTTTTGCTTTTTTCCTTTGATGTTCATTGTTAGAAAGCTGTCTTCTAATGTTTTTCCTCTTTATGCAAACTGACATTCAAGCAGTAAAAATCAACAGTAAGATTTTGAATTTGTTTGTTATTTGTGCCTGTGCCTTAGGTGTTACTGAATTCTTTGATTAAGTGTGAAAAGATTGTTTGCTTTGTCAATGTTCATGGCATCCGCAGAGTCCTTGGGAGTACTCTAAGTGTGCCATTTGTTTATCGTATAACTGCACTGTCTCATATGTTCTTTGGCTTCTGCATTCTCACTGGATCTCTGTCTCCGGGTGATAGCACATTAGCTTCCACTCCTTCCTTTCCTTTCATGTGGTTGAGTGACATATGAGGTCCTGTAGTTAAAGGCTCTGCCAATGAGCATAAATTTTACAAGGCATAGGACCCTTAAGTCATTTAGATTCTTGACATTATTTTCTGTTAACTTTCAGTGAAAGAGAGAGCTGGTGAACACAGTATGGACTTATAGAAAGTTACATAACTGCATCAAACGTCAAGTATCTAAATACCACCAACATTTTAAAGCAAATTAAGAAGTTAATAAAAAGTGATTAAATGAATAAAACTTAATTTCTAATATAACTTTATACACTTTAGCAGATATTTTTATACATAAGCCTGTGGTACCCACAGTTGCCTTTGACAATCAAGAGTCCCTATGTGTTCCTACTATTCTCAGTAAAATATGTAGGTTATAGTCTACTTGTATCCTGTTTTAAGACTCAGATTTATTGAGGTGTGACTGACTTATAGTTAAATTCAATCTCTAAGATACATAGTCCAGTGAGTTCTGAAAAACATAGTTATGTGACAACAAATAGAATCAGGCAGTAAAATATTTCCATAAATCTAAAATGTTCTTGCCTGTCCTGTTGTAGTCAATACTTGTAATCAGCACTACTCTGCTTCCTTACCACTGATTTGATTTCTGCCCCTGTAGTTTTTCATTGGCCATAATGTTACAAAAATGGAATCATTCACTATATAGCCATCTGCATCAGACTTCTTCGACTTAACATACTATTTCTGATACTTCCCCATGCCGTTGCACGTATTGATAGTTTATTATAGCTTAGAGGTGTATTTTGTGTATTCCTATCCACTCATTGTTAGAGATGATTATGACCAAGTTGTTATAAGCTTCCAGAACAGGTTTTTGACTATATATGTTTTCATTTCTCTTTGCTATAAATCGCTAATAGGATTTCTGAGCTTTATGGTTTTTGTTTGTCTGACAATATTAGAAAATGCCAAACTATTTTTTAAAACAGCTATGATATTTTGTATATCTACCAGAAATTTATGAATTCCTGTTTTGCATCCTGTTTTAACTTGGGTTTATTAAGGTATAATTTATGTAGAATTAAATTCAATCTCTTAAGTATGTAATTTGATGAATTTTGACCAATATGTATATACTCATAAAAGAACTGGCAGTCAGGCTAGCATCTTTGCCAGCATCTGGTACTATCAGCTATTTTCCCTTATTTAACATTAATCACTACTATAAAGATGCTAGTGGTATCTCATTGTGGTTTTACTTTCACAATATGTAATTTCAAAGGCACGTCTTTTATGTGTTTATTGGCATTCATTTATCTTCTTTGATGAAAACCTATTTAAGTTAGTTATCCATTTTTCAAATTGGCTTATTAATCATATTAAATTGTAAGAGTTGTTTATATATTCCGGATACAAGTTCTTTAATAGATATGTTTTGTAGTATTTTCTGCCACTCTTTTGGATTTTCATTTTACTTGTTGAAGAGCAAAAGTTTTAAGTCAAATTTATCAAATGTTTTGCATTGTCCTATCAGTGTCCTAATAAATCTTTGCTAGAATGAGAATTCCAAAGATTTTCTACTCTGTGTCTTTTATACATCTTAGTTTAGGCTTTTCCACTTAGACCAGTAACTCATTTTGA